AGATCTAGTTCAGGTGCAGACCTTCTCTCTGTTTCCATCTGGCTGAGGGAGTTCGCTGTGTCTGGCTGTGTGCTCAGAGGCACACCATTGCAGGAAATGGGAACAGTGGACCCAGATGGCCAGGAGAGCTATTTGCCTGCTGAGAGGCTGTCGTAAAGATGGATTCCATGTGTATGTGTCGCTCCAAGAGCTGTGACCTGGGCTGTTATGAGGGACAGAGCAAACATTTCAATTCCGTAGAAGGAAGATCTCCCCGTAACTTTCTCCTTACCTCTCTCCTGCAGTGACTTGAGCACATCATGACCCATGCCACCAGATAGAGTATCATGGAGGCAGAGTCCTCTAAAACTGTAACAGGTGCCTTTAAGAAGGTAAAGTATTCCCTTCTCTTTACTAATATTTGCAGAAAAGATTGAAAGTACTTTGGTGGGTTGCTGGGGGACAGTTAATAATGTTTACAAGTCCGTTCTAGCTTGAGATTCTATGAGGTTCAATGATTAAATTTCAATGAAACTTAGCTTGAATGGGCTTCCCAAAGTAATCTCTCTTTCATATGTGTCATTCTAAATTCGAAGAAGAAATATCTCTTGGTTGTGGACCAAGAAGAGCTCATTTCGTCTCTGCATTCATGAGATTTAGAAAAAGTTGTGTCAAATGGGAGAACCACATAACAGAAGCTCACTCTCTGTTTTCTTGGCTAAAGCCAAGACACTGTTTCTTCAGACCATGTTCTCCTAATATAGCAAGAAGTTTTAGTCCACCTGGATTTACAGTGAGACGAAAACGTAAAAAAAAAAAAAAATGGTAGGGGTAGGGGGGTAGTGCAAAAGACATTTCATCTTAAGGAAAAATAAGCTGCAAATAATTATTGTCAAAATAACATTTCCATTTTTATTTAACATGATGACTCAATGTACACATTTGGTTTATGAACACAGTGTAAAATATCTCCATCTTCCTTTGAGTCTAGTCATTATTACAGAAATTTGAACATAAATGATGAACACGGTTTACACAAGAGAAATGTGCATGCTTTAGCTGGCTGTGGGGGACTGTGGTTTCAGCGGGTTTCCCGCATCTGTGGAGGTTGGTCGGGTAAGCAGGACCACGTGCACCTCCTCAACGTGATCAAGCCACACACACACACACACACACACACACACACACAAGACAAGCGCTCATGTGTGAGACAAGCATGCCCAGCACAACAGTCATTCCTAGTTGAGGCTGTTGCCTTACTGAGGCATTTCCACGCCCAGAAACACCCTTTTATGTGGCTGATGTACAGCATTCTCCACTTTCCTTCCACCAAATGTGTGAAGCCAAATGTCCTCGTCGCGAGTGAGAAAATGCAGACTCAGCCATGTTCTTTTTTCGCTGGAACTGCAAAGGGTGAGGCGTGGCCCACAGTGACTCTGTGGAAAGGTCCACCTCCCTTAGAAAAGGCGACATTCCTTCTGTGTGACAGACAACTCATAAATGGCTTTGCCGCCAAGCTTCTGGGCTTTACAGGCTGTTGATGGGTCCAGTAAGAAGTAATATGTAAAACTCCTGTTTGTAGAAACCTGATTTACTTAAAGAATACAGATTCCAAACAAAGCCAAAACATGTACTAACAGTTCTGGGGGAAAGTATTTACCATTAATTTCTTGGACCAAAAATTATACACAGGGAAAGAATCAAGCATTCTGAGGCTAAGTCCCTTGGGAATCCCTAAATTAACAATTTTTAAAAATATTTATAGAGTCATTGGTTTAATGACAAATGGATTTGTCCTACTGGGTCTCTGATTGGTGGCAAAGGGTACAGTCAGGAGGAAGAAACTAGTTTGGGGAATGAAAAGCCCCAGTTAAACTCCGCCTCCACTCACTGACCCGCAATCACAGCCCCTCACAGCCTGACAATATTTGCCTCTCACGGAATAAGGACAACCTATTGATTATTTTCTGGGAGGCCTACACTTTGGTTAAAACTACCTATCCAGTTAAAACTCTGCTATCCACTTAAAACTCTACTGTTTACAAAGGAGTAAATACGCCAGGGGGTTCACAGCATGCCTACAAGACACAAATATAAAAAGTGATGGCAAGCTTGTTGCAAGTCCTCTTAAAGTAACAGGGAATTCTGGTGCAAAAAGACAGATGAAAATACAGGCCATAAATTGTAAAGGAGCCATACTCTAAGGAAGGCATTATTTGAAAAGCACTATTGTATTCAAGAGGGAATCACAAACATTAAAAATAAAATATTTGATATTCTACACTATATTACAAAAATAAATATATCCATCAATAAATAGTAAGAAGCCTAGAAATTTTACATGAATATTTTAGTTGTTGGCTGTCGAAGTCCCTCTGCTAGTCCTCCTCGAGAGTCATTTAGGTGTGTAAACTTCAGTGATGATAATTCTTCCATAAAAGAGTAAAAAAGACGGGTGTGGCATGCAGCCAAGGTCTACGACCAGAGAGGACTTCCAGTGACTCCTACTTCCTAAGGATCTGACAATTTCATGGCTTAGCGTTAACACAGTGATGGAGGAGAGGTGCGGACACACTGCAAGTGGCCTGATGGGAGCAGGGGTCCCCTATTTAGGATTTATGCCTTTGCATTTCTGATGAAAAACAATGCAACTAGCAACATTTGAAGAACCAGTATGTGGCTTTAGATTTTCACATGCCTTTAACAGAAGAGCAATTTTAAGTGCTTGCCACGAGGTTTTTCCCAAAACCTGGCCATGTCGGCAGAGAGCGTTCAGAAAGCAGGACCTGGCACATTCTAGTATTCTAACATCAGCTTGCTAATAGCAGCGGGGGGCCTGCACACATGTCTCCTGAGAGCACCCTGCTTGGTTTTCAGGAATTTTGCAAACCACTTGATATCACATGGATAGTTTGAAAGAGGCTCTGGTGAAATCTACCATTGAAATCTATAAATCTACCTTTGAAATCTACAAATCAAGATGGCTGGCCATAAAGCATTTATCCGCGCATCACTGTCGTACGTATTTTACACAGAAAGAAGATGTTGCTTGATTTTTATCTAACCAGAACAACCCTGCTCAGCTGAGGTTTTACTTTATGTCTATTATAGACAGCGTCCTTTAGAAAGGAGAAGCAGTACCGTAGAGTAACTGAGCACCCACTGTGTACCATGGATAGAAATGATGCACCACACCCCACTGAGGGCTCTAAGGGTGGCTATCCAAAACCAGTCTCTCTCTCTCTCTCACTCACACACACATACACACATACACACTCATGCATGCCATTTTATCTGCAGGCTTTTTCATAAATGAATGATTCCGAGCTGCGTGGCCATCTCAGGTTGTCAATCACTGTATACTCACTGATAGTCGAAACTGCACTTTTGTGGAGCACTGAGTTCCCAGGATCTGCCCTCTGGATGTCAGTGGACAGTGGAAGTACAGAGTAGATGTCCCAATTGGGCAAAATGTCCTTCAAAATAGCTTCCCTTACCTCTATTTTCCAGTGGAGTTTATAACCCCAAGAGGTTTGTGAAAGGGAGGCTGATGGTTTCCCAGGGTAAAAAAAAAAAAAAAAAGAAAAAATGCAAGACTTCTTAAGGAAGCATTCAATGGGGTGAGTGGGGGACAATGTTCTGGAAACTGCATTCCTAGAACTGTGAACATCAGCGTCAGATGCCTGGAAGAGTCGAATAGTTTGAGAACTGCACTGCTCTGGTTCTTCCCGCACAAAGCCCGTGACCTTGCATGGAGGAAGAACCTCCGCCGTGTCCTTCCAACGAGTCAACTGCCGGCAAACCCGCTGGACCATCCCCATCAGGAACGCTTCCCAGTCCCTTAGTCCTGGCCAGTTCCAAACTGGCAAGATTTGAGAATGAGGGGATTGAGAAGCCTACAGGGTTTCTACCATGGCGCCAATCTGATTCAGAATTCAGGCTTAGCTTTGGAGTCATTTGTTTATGTGTCTATTTATTCACTCATTCATTTAGAAATATCCTTTTGGACCGTTTTTTTCCCCTTATATTTAAGTATTTTTCATGAACAAAATATTTCATAAATCAAATCAAATTAGATATTGGGAGGAAATCTAAAAATTAGAGCACTAACTCCACTCACCCTGATAGCAAATGCTTTCAGGTTCCCTTCCCAACCCACAGCAAGGTCAATGAAGACCAATGAAGAAAGGGGACACAGGAATAAGAGAAAGATACGAGGCACTGGGGCAGGAGAGAAAGAGGGAAGGAGAGGGGTGGAAAGAAGCAAAAACAGTGGTGCAGAGGCAGGGGAGAAATATTAAGAATTGAAGCAAAATATTAAGAAGAGTCCAACAGACAGATCCCTTCTGATTTTCCTCCTCTCGATCTCAGGTAATTTTATTTTGTCCCAAAGACTTAATTCTCCAGTTAAAACTGCTTATAATTTTACACACACAACCTAGGACAGCATCTGTATCCTTTTCCCTCCTCTCCTGCAAGCGCCCCCCCCCCCACCTCCTCTACCCTCCACAGCAGTAAAGGCCAACACACTTGACCTTGCAGTCAGTCCTATTATCTCAGGAACATCATGAAATCCCCTATTTTCTTTTCTTGACCAAGTGCTGCCCTCTAGAGCGCAGTGGTGGTCGGTGGGGCTCATCCCTTGCTATGGTGGATTCAGGCCACTGCCTTTGGAAACCCTTTGGTTTCTGTATCAAATAACCCCTCCCCTCAAACATGCACCGTCCCTTACCTGGTCCTGCAGCTCTGAGCTATGGCACAAACTCAACTAATAAATGCTACACCTACCTATCCAATAGTATGTAGGAAATGCAATCCTTCCTAGGAGGGTGAAATTCTTGGTGCTAATTATCTTCACATAAATCCTACTCAGAGAAGAGTTGACTGAGAACGTACCACTGGTTTTTAATATATACACATTTGATTGAATCATGCACACGTGTGAGTATGATCTACCTCTATGGGACCAAAAGAGTTTTAGAAGTTTACCTATGTACACATATACATACACAAATATCTATCATCCAACACGCTGTTTCTGCTTGGGTCTTATTGTTTTCAAATAAAAATAGAGGACAATTTGGGGGGAGGGTTGCCACTTGCTATTGGACGTGGCATTGCCAGAAAATGCCGAGTCCAAAGAAAAAACAGATTGGAAGGGATGAGACTGTATTAGCAAAATATGCATTTGATACAACAAACTGACCTGCCCATTTCCCTAAGGCAGCGAGCCTTTATGATCTGTACACTCTTATTAAATAATCTCATTAAATAGGAACACAAAATGTACACATTTACAGTTATTAAATAAGCCAGGACTCTTCTATCTGCAGCCGCATTCAGACACTGCCATGCCTTCATATTTGAACTTGTAGGTGACAACGCCCTTGTCTAAATAGAGGATAGAGATGGGCTCTAGCTTGGTGGGCACACAGCAGGCTTTGGAAGCCTTCTGGGAATTCTTGAGGTGGACCAAGGCCTGGATAATTGCATGTTTTGTGGGTGTGAGATGCTCTGCCAGGGGGTAGTTGCAAACCCCGCGGCATTCGTAGGCTTCGTATCCAGGTGGGGCGATGATCCAAGAGTCCCAGCCAATCTCCTTGAAGTCAATGTAGAGCGGGGTCCTCTTGCAGTAGTTTCCTTTAGCGTTCCTTCTGATGCGGGCTGTGGAGTCATAGATGATGTTTGACCTCATCTGCAGCAAAGCTTCTTCTCCTGGCCCACTGGAATAACCGTCCATGCCCAAGTTGTCAAGATCCAGTAGCTGCTCATGGGCGATCATTTCATTCAGTTCCTCCTTCCGTTCCTTCTCACTGCTTTGGTCATCGGAAAACACGACAAGCAAGGGGACATGCTTATTCTGGGCACTGGTGTCTATTTCCAGTTGTCCTCTGCCAGCATCCTCGCTTCCATCGTGTCTGCTCTCGATGTGGACCTCCAGCTGGTGGGTGGATGAGCCTGACTTTTGCCAACGTCTAATGGCATCGGTGACATCGAAAGTCTCCCACTCACTGTTTGTGCCATAGATCTCCCCCGACACCAAGACCAGCATGCTTCTTTCACCCTCAGTGTCCCCTCTGCTCTCAAGTACCTCGAAAATGGTAATTTTCCGGTCTACTCCATCGTATATCATGCGATCTCTCTGCACCAGTGTGTACAACCTGAGTTCAGCCATGATGACCTCTTCGTGGTGAGGAATGGACACATTGAAGAGGAGAGGGTATTTTCGGAGTCCGTTAAAACTGGCTGGCTGGGAAAACAGATCTGGGGGGAAAAAAAGACAAAAATCAGATTTGTAGTGTGTCACAGAGAAAAATAGATGCTTATTTATGCAATAAGAGGGACTGTCTGTGCGGGAAGCTTGATACAGAGGAACGAGAGGGACCATTGATGAAAATAAACACAATGTTACCATTTTCTGACAGAAAATACTGAAAGGTCAATGGCAGAATGCTAAACTGACTTAAGCTGCCAAGGCTAAGATGGAAAGCGGCTGTCTTATGAATGGGAGAAACTCTCCCAGTCTTGCTTGCATTGGTTTCACTTATCAGCCACAGAATTACAGAGCTAGGAGGGACTCTGGAGACTGTGCAGGCAAGCCCCCAATTAGCCTAGACAGTAAAAGGCCATCAAATGGAAGGTGGGGTGGTTGTTCTTTTTTGGAAGCTTTTCAGGGATAAGCATCTCATGGCTTTCCATATTTGCATTCATAATAAGTGAAGATTCTCCACATGGTTGGCTGAGGACTGGTCTTCCTTAAAGACCCCCATGTAGATCAGGGGTTGGTAAACTATAGCCCATGGGCCATGATGAGCCTGCCACCTATGTCTGGAAATAAAGGATCAGGGAAACAGAGCCTGGCCCATTTATTTCTATGTTGTCCGTGGCTACCATTGCACTACAGTGTCAGAGTTGCGACAACAAATGGCCCACAAAACCCAAAATATTTGCTATCTGTCTGGCCCTTTACAGAAAGAGTTTGCTGACTCTTCCTCTGACACCAATGTCTGACAAGGCCGACAAGATAGCCACAAACCAGGGGGGTCACAGCAGTTGAATTTTGGGTGTATAGACTTCAACAAGGAGGAATGGGAGAAAACGAACCTTGGGATAGATGGGTTGCTTTAGTCTTGTACCCTTAGCAACTGGCATGGAGTTTGGCACATAAGAATCACTCAGAATGTTTATGAAATAAGGTCCTTTAGTCTCAGAAGTGCATCTCCAGATATTATCACATTGACTTCCTATGTAAGAATTTATAGGCGCCCAGAGCTTCTGTAACCTTGCCCCTGGTAAACATAAGACTATGCCTGGGGGGCATTTGTCATCCATCAAAATTCAGTGACACCAGAGTGCTAAGGACACCCAATTGAGGGGTTCCCTGTCATCTTTGGCAGTGTTTTCTCAACTGTATACCTAATTCATTATTTTAGTAGGGTCCCTGCTCCAGATTGTACTCTTAAATATTTTTCTTTAGCTTTATATGATTTTTTATACTCTTTAATGTCTCTTTTAGGCTTGTCCTAAACAACAACATTCATGAAATGAAGGGATTAAGGTGGTTGTCATGTAGATTTTTTTCTGATCCACATTAATGAAAATGTATAATAATTGTACAGGATTCACAGCTTTCTCTCTGTAGGGTACCATTTAAAATCATCTCATACACTGCCAGTGGGAAATACTGGCCAATGAGATGAATTTAAACACTCTAGCATGATTCTTAAAACTAGCTATAAACAGGCCTTACCGTCTTGATCTATCCATAGTTCCCACTCAACCCCTAAAGTGCCTGGAACATTGTAATAGAACAAGTTGTATTTCTTGAAAGGTTAAAGGAATTGTAAACCCTCCTATTTAGAGTAGACCGATATCTTCACCATTTGCCAAAACATTCCTTTGCCCTGATGTACACCACACCTCTGGAGCTGTGCTTCTGACTCTTGGAAAGCCTTCTCCCCTCCCTTCCACCTCTCTGGTTGTGACCCCTCCTTGTGGGATTTTCCCTTCTTCACCTCCCTATCTAGAAGTCCACTGCCTTCTGGGTCACTTACATATTTACTCTTTTTTAAAATTTTTATTTAAATTCTAGTCAGTTAACATATAGTGTAATATTGGTTTCAGGAGTAGAATTTAGTGATTCTGATATTTACTTTTTATATCTCTCCTATAAGCTTTGCCATTTACATCCTTACATTTCAGTTTTCTTTTTATGAATGGGTCTTCCCAAGCAGATAGTCATCGTGTTGGCAGGGAGCCCAGCTTAAATTCCTTCAATGCCTCCGAGCTACTGGGATACCTTAAACAGAGGCAATGTTTTCAAAATATGGACTAGTCGATGATTCTGGACATCACAAAAGATCAAACTGATTTACGGGAATGGCATAGGTCCTTAATACATCAAGTAACTTGAGAGTTGTCCCCTCATATAAGAATAGAGAGATTTTCCTCTCCTTGGAAAGGGAGCATGAGACCAAAACGAGGGAAGTAGACTGGTTGCTCTATGCATGAGAAAAGTGCGGAATGAAAGCTCATGGTCATGGGAAGAGGGGATTAATTACAAAGGAGCACAAGGAGACTTTTGGTGGTAATGATTAGGCTCACTATATTCATTGTAGTAATGGTTTCAGTGGATGTTTATAAATACCAAAACCTACCAAATTATATACTTCAAATATGTGCAGATTATTGTATGTCAATTATACTTTAATAAAGCTGTTAAAAAATAAGTTCACTGTGTATGTGCAACTATACAAAGTAGTAGATGAAGGTGTTGCATTCTAGGCAAGGGAACTGATGTTTGTTGAGCGTATTTAAATGTGCCAGTGTTTTGCAAACACTGTTTCATTTGTTTCTTATAAAGACCATTTATTGCTATTGTGTTCATCTTACAGCAGAAGAAATCAAGCTTCAATGCAGAGGACTGACTTCCCCAAGATGACAAAGTGAAGTCAGAAGTGGTAGGAATTAAAGTCATCTTTTTTCTACCTTAGAAGTCTTCTTGCTTTCCCCTGATTAGTTAGATTGGGAGGAGGGTTTTTTTGGTTTTGATTGGGGGTGGAGGGGCAGGACAAGGCGGGGTTGGTCTTCGTCTCCTAGGCAGTTGCACTGTGCAGACTCAAAGAGTCAAAAGAAAGTCAAGAACAGCCATTAGTGCCAGCCCAGTGCAGGATCCATGTCCTTGGGGCTGAGCATGCCTCCTGAAGACTGGCAGCAGAGCCGCGAGCAGCAGGGGTGTCCACAGATAGATCCGCTCCGGCTTTTGCTGGTCTCCTGTAATAAGACCCTTTGTAAACTCCACTTCCTGACCTGCATCACGCAAATCCTTCATGGGAGAAGCGAGAACTAAAAATCTTCTATTTCTCCCTGGGGGTGTGAACATTTCCCACCTACCCTCCGAACAAGGCACCCAGAGCTCAGTGCTCAGAAGTGCTAGGAAAGGTTCCCATGGAAGGAGGAGATTTATTTTCAATTCAGACTCACCCTCAAAAGGAATCTGTAATTTCAGTTTGCCATTTCCATTATGTTACTAAATGTTACTGAGTAACATTTCTGATGTGTTACTAAATATCTAAAATTTTGGCACTTATTTAAATTTTAAAGGCAAATGCTATCTTCAGGACTGAGCAATACCCACTCCACATTTCCTCTAATGCCTAGAATTTAAGGAATTCCTTAGTAATAGCTAATGATTGTTCAGCAATTCAGAGTAAATAGAGCACTTTCTTACTCATAACCTCTTTGAAATCGCTTAGTTGTGTTACTTAGGTATATTATGCCCAATTTACAGATAATAAAACTGAGATTCAGAGAAATTAAGCTAATTATCCACAACTACTAAGTCAACCTTGCCTCAAAATTCCAAATCCCAAGCTATTTCCGTGTTACCACCTTTCTGCTTTTAAGAACAACTGGTCAACATCAGTCAAAACCCTCTTCCATGAGGGCTGTCATTATCATGCACCTGGTTCATGACAATGGAAATATTAAAGAATTAATCTCTTTGGACCTACATCTTTAAGCATGCATATTAGAAAAAATATATATATTTTTGTCACCTACCACCATATTAAATAAAAGATCAACTTGCTAGGTCATTACATTTAGCTACTGAATAAAGCTGGGGGGGGGCTAACATCGTTTTTCTGCTGATATTTAAGGCTTGTGCATTGCTATTCATGAAGACACTGAAATAAGCTGGATCATTAACTGGGCCGTGTACTTCCTGGACATTATAAAGAGTGATTCAAGGATGTACATGTCACAAAAACACAACAATATTTTAGGAAGAACCTCTAAAATACAAGTTTTGTCCTGTCTGAATATTTCTTAAGTAAGGTCAGAAAATGGAAACACATTCAAAGTTTGAGTGAAGCACAAGTCATGACTTTGGTTCTTGTCTATTTTCATTCTAAGTAGAAGTTGACAGATTTTATTTATTTATTTATTTTTTGGTCAATTCAGGGACAAATGGAAACAGAGACCTATCTGGAAAATGACAGACAAAGGTATAGAAATAACCCGACATTAATTTCTTGTATTACTGTGGTTCAAATTCAAAAATCTTAAAGACCAAATTATGATGTCAAAATGACAGACACTTTATGACTTTGGATTAAAAGATATTCTTTAGTACCTTTTAATAGCATTTGGGAAATGACCATGAAAATGGTATAGACCAAAATGTGCACCGTTTTTGAGTATCAGTGTACATATACCTTTACATAGAAGTGTTCACCCCATCTATATTGTTTGAATTTATCATCTCTTGAAAAAAAAAATCCAAGCCAAATTTTGTCAATAAAATGTCAACTTACCTTCATTCTTGAAACTCCTAATGATGTTGGCCGATGGCATGGAGGTCCGATCTGTTGCAAATTTGTTGTAGAGTTCCAACATATACTCGGGTGGGTCCACCTTGGCTGAATCCTGCAAAGGGATGTCAGATAGGTTCAGTGTCTTGAGAAATTCATTTTTCATGCTCTGAAGCAATGTGTTGAAGTCGACACCATCTTGCTCTGAGAAGACATCATCGAAGAGGGGCATATCTTCTTCCAGAGGTGACTGCTCCAGGCTCATGATGGGGCTGCCAGAAACCGAGTGAGCCACCAGGCAGAGGAGAGCGCACAGCTGCAACTGCAGAGAACCCATGACTCTGCTCAAGCCCCCAGGCCAACCCAGGAAGATTTAGCTCTCCTGGGCTCTAAGTGGCAGTTTTATCTTGTGCAGCGTTAATGTCTCGTGTCACTGGAGACAAGTTTGGAAACTCTTCGCCTCCCTCTCCCTCCCCCCTACCACTTTTCCTCTCCCCCCAAAGTCAGGTTGCAGTAATTGGATAACAAAATCCCCTATAGGGGCCTAGCCTTTCTTATCTCCCTAGTGTAAACTTGTGCACTAGATTTTGTTTCTATCTCGCGATCCCTTTTTCTTTTAATGAGCATTTTATAAACATTTCCACATTCTGACACTGGCTAAGAGATAGGACAATTTTCTCCTTGCAGAAGCTCTGCTTCTCTTCCTTTCAATTCACTTCCTTTTGGCAGGAATGCCTAAATTCTGCTTTTATGTGATTTGCTTTCACACATGCATAGAATAGATACTGAGAATCAACACAATACACATCAGTGGCATCACAGATTAATTCAAGAGCCGGGGCTTCCATCTTCACAGCAACGGTTCAGAAGAAAGACCAAATATCCAACACCTCCAAGCTAAGTTAATAACTATAAATCCATTTCTATAACTTTCTAGAAGCTTACATTTTTAGAAACAGGGAAGTATAAACTTCGTGGTCAAGGGCCTTTTTCATACAGATTTGATCTGGCTAAGTGGCTTTTGAAAAATAGGGTGAGTGTTTCATTATAACAGCAACTCAAATTCATTAGGTGCTTTCCTGTAAACAGGCATGGTACTGAGTGCTTTATCTCAATCACCAAGTGTGCTCCCTATAATCACCCCCTTATGATGCCCATCGCACATATGAGTCGCTAAGGGTCAGTCACTTGCCAGAGGTCACAGAGCCTCAAAGTGACAGAGTCAGGATTTGAACCTAGGCATTCTCACTCTTACGAAAGGGAAAAAACAATCAGACTTTCAAGCCAGTGCTCCTGAGACTGGAGCAGGGGCAGAGATGCTGAAAGGCTAAGTCCCAGCCTCGCCCTTCCCCGGAGAGTCCACAGTCAGGAGACAAGGATTCGCAGTTGGAGCTGGACCTCAGGTCCTTTACCGGGGCGGTGGTGGATCGTGAGGATGACAAAATCTCTGCCAACTCCATCTTAATGGCGACGTCAAATGGGCCAGGTGGCTCCAAGTCAAAGTTTGGGAAACCACATTATGGGGCAGATGAAAAATGTTTCTTTGTCTGAGAAGCAATGGTGAAATTGATGGTTTGCCTGGTTAAGAAAGACAAATCAAGTTCATCTGCCTTTCCAGCCCCACTTAATGGTGGTAGCAGCTCGGTGCGGCCACGGTGGTCCTGTGGACCGCCCGCGGAAGCAGTGGGACTGTTGTTTCCCTACTTGTTCAGTGCACTCCCTGTGCAATTCAGGTGCCTGGCACTGTGTTCAGAAGGCTGTGTCTCGGTACTTGGTACAGTGGAATACTCTCTCAGTTTCTGAGTTACATTTTCCAACATTTACCCCAATTAGGTCCGCTACAGTACCTCCACTATCCTTTTTCCTTTAAGCTCCTTCCGGAGCTGTCTTCTGATCCTTTCCCCAGCTAAAATGTAAATTTACAACAGTTTTTTGAACTGTCTTAGAAAGACTTGTGTTTTGAGGAAAAGTGTCTCCACAGAATTGTCCAATTGTTCAGTAGCTGTTGATTTTGATTCCATCTTCCGTCGTGGGGAAAGCTCCCACTCCCACATTGAAAAGATAGTTGTAGACTGGAAATAGACTATACCCTAGTGGGTCCAAAAGTGAGTGAGTCCAACCCATTCTGCGGGTGGGCTTTACCAGAAGGCTCCTGACAGCATACCAGCAGGGTCCTTGTATCATGTCCTGCCTCAAAACAAGCACCCGTTTCTCTTCACACACACAGATGTCAACGCACACTCCAAAACTCTGAATGGCAGGCATGTGCGTGTAACTGCCACAGGACAGCTGAGTAAGTGGCGGCACTTGGAGCCCGGGCGCACAGGCTTCACGGGTCAGGAAGAGGCACGGACGTCCCACCTTGCTGAGTCCTAGCTCTTTGCATTCTAAGGGGAAAGATAGGCAATTGAGATTTCCTGTACTTGGTGTTAGAGGTATCGTTGGGTTTGACTATTTAGACCGGTTTCTGCATCATAAATGTTTATATTTTGGGCAGACTTAAAGATAAAATAGGAAAATGTCTATAACCACATCCCAATGCCTGTGACCTTAATGCAAGGTCCTTAAGCCCCACACCTGTGCTGGGGTAGGGGAGGAAGGGGATTGAGCTCCATGCATGGAGGAAAGGGGCATAAGCTTCCAGCCTCTTCTAGGCCTGGAATGCCTTGCATTTTAGCTGCAGAGTCTCTATCCCCATGACTTTACCTAGAAGTTTCTCCCAATGGCTCTCATCGGACTTTAAAAGATCCAAATATTTTCACGTTCTTTCCTCAATCTTGATATTCTGGACACAATCGATTCTATTACTCTGCCCTGATTATTTATTTTGGATTCTGCTCATTTGGAAGGTGTTGTAATTCATTTAGAGCAGACAGAAGATGACAATTTTGCCAAACCAAAGATGAAAAGCACATCTAGATATTTTAAGCAAACCCCCACGGATGGAAAGAGAAATATTAACTACATATCATGCTTTGTCGATCCTACTGCAAAATGCTCCAAAGTCTCTTCTTTACAAAGTTTGGGGCCAACTTTTAAAACTAGTTCTAGTAGCTGGACACACCTAAAGGATCTGACTGAACTCCATTAGATTCTCCAAGAGATCTGTGATCAGGGAAGGTTGGATCCATTGGAACTCTGCTGTGCCGGTTAGGACCGAACAGATCCCTAATAAAGATAATCAACAAAATTCTCCTGACTGACCACAGGTCAGTGAAGTTAGGAGGTCTTTGAACATGACTCCAGGGTTTTGGAAACACTTGTACCTTGGACCCCACTTCAGAAACATGGTGCCACGCTTGCTACTAGCTCAGGAATTTTCAGGACTTTGAGGTAACCCTTCTCAAACCAGGTATGATAATAAAAATATTTAGTAAGCTATACAGGAGGTCCCAGCCAATCAAAACAGATTACAAGTTAGAGTGCCAGAGCGATATCCCAGAGACCCCAAGTTTCACTTACTGAGCTCTAGATCTGGGGGAGATTGGGGTGGGATGCTGGCAGAGGGGCTTCGACCTCCACCTGTATGGGAATATTTCGATATTTTAGCCGGCATATTACCGTCGTACAATGTATAACAGGTGAATGCGAGTATCGCCTAAATTTCCTAAGCCAGAGCTCTGCAAGCTACATGCTGTTAGCGTTTGCTAACTCAGCATGAGGCTACACAGCCTGCACTGATTATTCCCTTGCTTGTTACTAGAATCTGGTCGCTGGCTGTCCTCTCGTTCTCCAGCCCAGGCCTTGCCCACCGTACTCAGACCTAGGCACCATTTGGGCTGCCTCTGCCCCTCGGTTGGCTCAGAGAGCTCCTGCCCCTTCTCCTCTGATATCATCTGCCCCAGCGCCTCCTCTAGGATCAGAAACCGCCTCGACCGAAGTGGCATTTCTCATCAATCCAGATCCCAGAGTCTACATTTTCAGTCGGGGAAAGTGTTCCCTTGCCTCTTCTGACCCCACAACATTTAGGTTGCTACTTGCCTGAGGCTTATCAGTCTGCCAAGTGGTTCTCTCACAGCCACACACTTGTTGCCATCTCCTCAACTCAGGTCCTTCCGCATCTGTGATTTAAATAGTCCCTTACCTCTTTCTTTCTGTAACTTTCCACATGGGCCTTTCATTCACCAATAAGGCCTCTCATGTGAATTCTCATCAATAATTAGGCAAGCAATAAAAAACTTCAGGCCTTTGTCTTTTCTTTGAGAGTTCTTGTGCACACCTCCTATGTGCCAGGAACTGTGCAAAAACAAAACCTGAAGAAAAGGGACCAAATCTATGACCTTGTAGAGTTGACTTTCCAACTGAGACAAGAGAGAGAATAAACAAATATACAAATAAAGTGTCTGTTGAGTGGTGACAAATACAGCAGAAAAGGCAAACCAAAGGAAGAGGATAAGAAATGCCATGGGCAAGGGGTTGCAATTTCACTGTCAAGGCTAGGGTGGGCCTCCCAGGTGCAGGTGAGGGTACCAGCCATGCAGGCCCCCAAAGGAAGAGCATTGCAGGCAGAGGTTTTTAAGTCAAGTGAGGGAGAGAGTCACAGAGAAGATGAGGTCTATGGATAAGCAGGTCCTGAACCAATAAGGAGGTCATGAATTTTTTTTTTTTTTTAGATTTTATTTATTTGAAAGAGAGAGAGAGGGCACAAGCAGGGGAAGCAACAGAGGGAGAGGGAGAAGCAGGCTTCCTGATGAGCAGGGAGCCCAATGCAGGGCTCAATCCCAGGACCCTGAGATCATGACCTGAGCCAAAACCAGACACTTAACCAACTGAGCCACCTAGGCACCCAGGATTTTTCTTTTTAACAGCCCTACTACACAGTCACACAACTTTGCCTTTTCCTTTCTGTCACTGACCATGCCATCTTACGGGTTTTTCATATTTCCACAAAGTTTTCACAACCATTAATGTATGAATATATTTACTAACTTGAAATGTGGGTCTGAAAAAGAGAACCTGTCTGTGGAGTGGTCAAATAACGTTTATTCTCTGTAGAACACCACCGGCCTGGAAGGTACTTGGAAACTGACAGTCTGCGCCACATCACCTCTTGCCTGGATTGCGGTAACGGGCTACTAACTGCTTCTGTCCTCACCTCCTAGCGGTTTATTCTCAACATGGCACCTAGGTCCTGATACGACATCATATCATCACTCCTCTCCTCACTCAGAGAAAAAGGCAACATCCTACCAAAGCCCTCATGGCCCTCTGTTACCTCTCTGGGGTCAACGCCTTTCTAACTCCCCTTCAGCCCAGGGGTCTCTCTGGCATTGTTTAAACACTCCATGCGTGTTTTTGCTTTAGGGCCTTTGCCTCAGCTGCTCCTCTGCCAGAAACAAACTTTGCCCTCCCCCCACATGGTCACTCTCACCCACTTCAAGTCTCTGCTCAGAAGTAACCTCCTCCATGAAGGCTGCCCTGAATACC